TGCCAGTCCCATGACTCACAGGGACACTGAAGGCAGAGGGACAGTCCACACAGCCAAACTCCCATCACCCCAGTGCAGACGCAGCAAGGCCCAGGTCTCAGGGCAACAGAGATGGCAACAAGAGAGGCTGGCTGGCAGTACTGGTTCTGGAGGGGCACAGCCCCACAGAAAAGCAGGGAACCCACTCTGCTGACCCCAATCCTGTACCCCACAGACCCTCCAGGACCCACAAAGAACTGCCCCCACCACATTCTTCCATGTTCCTCCCAGGAATTCAGAGCCACAATCACCAACAGAGGGTGTTTCTGCACCTGGCCCCCAACTGGGCCTCCTAAGATAACATAGGTCCTCCCTGCCGCACCAGGCCCTCAGAGGTTGGGGATCACTGAGCTTGCCAGGATTTCTGCATTGACTGGTGAAGCTCCCTAAGTTGGGCTCTGAAGAGTGGTCCCTGGATTGCTGCTGTTGCCCAGGCACATTCCCAACCTGGGACTCTGACAGCTGCCTCTACCTTCAGAGGAAACACTTTGCAGGTAGAACTGAGCCTCTCCACATCCCTTATGTCCTTCCCCCAAATATCCTTAAGTTGCTAGGATCAGTTGTTCTCTCTGCTGGCCAGCTTAGCATTTTCCTTCATGTTTATAATGTTTGAACAGTCTTGCCACCTCCTCCAGGGAGCCTTCCTAGATGCCCTAACCAAAATAAATTAGTCATGCCTTTTGCTGTTGAATCATTCAAGATTATTTGTTTGCTTTCAAGTGTGGATCCCCATTAGTCCGCAGGGGCCCTGGTTTCCTCATTCCTGGGTCCCTCCCTACTCCCTCTCCAGAATGTGACATACCAGGCCCTCCAGAAGAGCAGATAGGAAGATAAGTCCCTTCCCTCACCTTTAGGCATTGATTAATCACAGTGCATAGGACTTTCCCAGTGTCTATCCCAGAGACCTATAGGTGAGTGACTGGGATAGAAGTGGAAAGGGGTAGCAGTCACGGACTGCATTCCAGTTAGTAATGAGGATCAAGCCATGGTATCAAGCTGAGATACCATGCTTCCCACAGAGCAGATAAGATGCCAAAGGGCTGCAAGACTGGCTGCACAACAGAGGGAGGGGCTCGTTCAAGATCACCTTACCACTGGAAGGATGCTCAGCCATGAGTGTCGCACTCAGGACTGGTGTCTTCCCTCTCTGCACTTGCAGCCTAGCCCAGGCCTGTCATGGAGCAGGCCCCTGACCTGACCAAGATGGAGGAGTCAACTATAGGTTTACAGGTGTCTCATTTCAAACTTCTCCAGCAAGGCCTGCCCCATCATGCCACAGCTGAAGGGGCTCTGAGCTCATCCGTTCCAGCCTTGGGGAATTAGGTAAGAGAAGCTCCAAGAAAGAAGGTAGCTGCTCATGGTCACACAATCCAGACTCTTTCCAGACAGCAAACCGCCCCATCCCCACCCTCTCCACCCTCTACTTCCCTCAGGGTTCAAACAAGGCCCACCTACCTAGCACATCTTCTGGGGCCCCCTTCCAGCCCCTTCTAGTATTGTGCTCCCTCAGTCATTTGCGTAAGCTTTTCCCTCCACTTGGAATCCACTCCCACGCTCTGGTCCCAGCAAATTTCTACTTATCCTTCCATGCCCAATTCAAATGTCAACCTTCTCTGACACCAAAGATAACAATCACCCCGATTTATTGAGTACCTAGCCCCACTGTGTTCTGGAAAAGCAACAAGTTAATGTTGAAACTTCCAGTGGGGTCTCCCCTGGTTAGCAATCAAGTTCCTCAAGGACCCCTAAAGCAGTGCACTAACAACACCTGTGACACACCCATATAAAGGGGGCAAGGTACACTGCCCTGGTATACTTGTAAGGTATACTGTCCTGGACTCATAGAAGCTACCTGTGTTATCTTCAGACCACCCCCATGACTCAGTTTCCTCATCTAGACAATGAGCAAAGGCAGTGGATGTGCCTGGGCCTTGGGAAGGACTCGCTTCTGCAGCTGTTACTGTTTGAGTCACTTTCATTTTCTTCCATCTCCCTGGGGGTCTTTCCTGTGACCAGTGCTCTGTGTACCATTTTTTTGAATGAATGATTTTGGCATCTGAAATGTTAAAAAAGATGTGATTGAGATCCAGAGACCACATGTAGAACTGAATCTCTTTAGAAAAGCTGCACTGTGGTCTTTTGGTCCAAATGGGGGCTCAACGGGGTCACTGTGAAATAGCCCCTCTCTCATGTGGACACAGGGCAGTTTTCAGGAGTGAGTTGGAAGAGAGGAGAGTCCTGCTTTGGGCTGCATTCCTGTCAGAGGCCTAGACAGGGATGCCTTAAAGATTAGGCTCTGGAAATAGCCAAGGGCACAGGAGTGGCCTGGTGGTTAGGGTCACAAGAGGAGGCCCAGCCCAAGGCTCAGCCCCAGTGAGGTCCATTTCTGTCCCTCACTAAAGACAGAGGGACCCAAGCAAGCCACTCCCTGGAGCCTCCATTCTGCCACAGAACAGGCCTCTGGAGCCCATCCATGGACAGCCTCTGAGAACAGATCTGGCCTCTGTAAATGTTACACAAAGTGAACGGCTGTCTGCCAGGGAGCATCAGCTGCAGCCCCTCTCTGGACAAATAAGAACAGCAAAGCCCAGAGATGGGGAGTGACTCACCCAGATCTTACAAGTGATGAGAACGTTTACTTAGAAGCCACGTCGATAAGAGTCGGCAATGCCTGCCCCAGCCCACTGCGAAGGCCCCACTCCCAACAAGCAGAGTGCACCTTGTTACCGTGTATCCTGCCCTGTATGGCCATGTGAGCTGCTTCAGGGAGTGCTGGGTCGGGTACCTATGTGGCCCTAGTCCCCCACCATCTAACAATCAGTAACCATTTGTTAACAGGCTGCCGCACTGGCTTGATGACAAAGTTTCCAGGGTGAAAAGAGGGTGGAACGTTACTTCTTAAAGGTGACAATCAGCCATATAGACCTTTGTTCAGATTTCCAGTGTCCATTTATGGAGGTTGTCAATGAAGAGGGAGACCCAGCCCTGCCCCTGAATAGCTTACATTCTATGTGGTCTTGGCTTTAGGAGTTTACCGTGTGATTCAGGCAAGTCTGGTTTGCACCAGCGCTTTCCTCTCTCTGTCTTTTCTCCATCTGCATGGACACCGCATCGTGGGTGTTTTCATGCATCACTTCAGATTTTCAACCAAAATGTGTGGCCACAGTAGAGACCGAGCCAGTAGGTTGACCAAGGGCTCCCGCTGCACAGAACTGCTAAGCCAGGGCAAGCAGGGAGCCAAGATTCAACTGGAGTCAGCACAGGTCCCAGCCTTCTCCCGCTGCCCTTCCAAGCTGGTTTTCTCAATGTCTTACAGTCCAGGTGACTGCAGCGCATGCTCACCTTTGACGCCTCAACCAGGCCTCTCAAGGGGGGCCCTCTTGCCTCCAACGGGCCAAAAGTTCATTTTCAGAAAGCAAGAAATCTACTGTTTCTCTATAAAGCACAGGTATACACAGTATATAACAGATTCCAGCATATCTGTGGTGTTAAGGGAAAATGTCTATAAAGATTTCTTCAGGGACTAATAATGAAAGAAAGATCAAGGGCCTCCCCGGTGGTGCAGCAGGTTGAGTGCAGCGCTGTGAAGTTGTCCGTAGCCTCTGCAGCGCGGGTTCAATTCCTGGCCAGCCAGGGAGATACCCACATGGTGCAGCAGACCTCTCCTGTCTCACCCGCTGCTCCCCTCAGCAGTGTATTTCATCAGTCTGCCTGTTCTGCTCCCCCCTCTGTCTCTGGTGAATCCTCTCATGCTCCCACGCGTCTGGCCTGTACCCCAGCTTTTGTATAAATAAATAAATCTTCGAAAAAAAAAAAGAAAGAAAGATCGAGAGAAACACTGGCCCAGATAAAGGCAGCTATGATATTCAGCAGGAAAACACCTCCCAAGAAGACACTAAGTGCTCCTAGCGCTGCCAGTAAGGAAAGAGCCAGCTCGGGTTCTCCCCCACCTTATCCCTCTCTTACAGCGGAGGGGCAGATGGGGCAAGCAGGAACCCAGGACACATCAGCTCCTACCTGATGTTGCCGACAAAGTTGACACTACCAGCAGAGCACCCATGGGGGCCCTGGGTTGCCACTGGCTGACGAGGGTCTGACGCCGCGGATGGCACACAAGGGGAAGGAGACACTGCCTGAATTGAGAGTTAGGAAGGGAAGCCACCCTTGACTCTCTGGGCCAACACTTAGAATCAACTACCAGGGGTACCCCAAGTGCCTGAGGGGCTGGGCGGGGGGACAAGTCCTAGGGAAGGGAACAGACAGAACAGAGTGCCAGAAAAGAGCAAGCTGACTTTTGGGCCAGAGACAATCGGGGACAAGGAAGGAAAAGAAGCAGTAAGAAGACCAATGGCGGCTCATGCTCACAGAGCCTTGCCCCAGTGCCAGGCAGCTGCCAACCCCACCACACGCCTACCCTCTGGGGCAGCCCAGAGCCTCAGCAGCAGCATGTCAACTCATGTCTCCCTGGAGCACTGCAGATGCCTCAGCAACTGAAGTGTGCTGGGCACGTGGGACCTGAGCAGTTGATAGATGCAAGTGAATAAATCCTGCTTCACACACAGGGAAAGAACCAGAGAAGGCAAGTAAAAGTAATCTGAAGCCTCAGGGTAAGTGAGAAGTACAGCCAGGATTCAACCCCAGCATGACCCACCTTCCTCATCCCTGCTTATATCTAGGTTCGAGATTCCTGCCAGGTAAGATGCAGTCCTGGGAGCCCACAGATGAGGGGGATATATAAGATAAGGCACCCTCCTAACTCAGCAGCTTCACCCTGACAGACTTGAACCTGGTGGCAAGGGAGCATGAGGGGCTCACTCCGGAAGGCAGTGCAGCCCCTGACTGGGCTCAGACTGTACACTGGGCCTTGCAGGAAGCCAAGGAGACAATCACATCGACCTGGCTGAGGCAGCTGGTGACTGGGAAGGCGGGGGGTGCAGCCTGATGAAAGGCTTGTTCCTTACCAATCCATCGCAGTTGCTGATGGCGACAGTCGCCCTCGGCATGCCCGTGATACTCCCGGTATAGACACACTCCTGCCACAAGGGCTGCCGGAACAGCTCCTGAAAATCCTCCTGCCACTCCACCGAGGCTCCGGGCACCACCAGCCTCCGATTGGGCTGCAGGCGCAAGTGCAATTCCTCTCCAAAAACAGTAACATTGAAGTACAGGAAGGAGCGCCCTGCATGGCTTGGCTGCAGGGTGGCTCCTTCAGGGTGCAGGGGGCTGCGGGCCACACGGAGGTGACTGGAGTGTGATGGCGATGCCGGTGGCCCATCCGCTGCCATGCTGCCCGTGAAGGCTGCCGCTGGCCCAGACACCACATGGGAAAGGAAGCGTCCCTGGAAATCTGTGCTGCAGGGCACTGTCACACCATAGTCACTGAGCTTTCGGGAGAAGGACAGCTCTGTTGGAAGTAAACAAAGAGTTACTTCAGTAGTGTTTGTGCAGAGGTAAGGGAACGCTGGAAATTCCGGGGGCCAGGGAGGGATCTGCAACCTGAGTGTCACCTCAGAGGGACCTCCTAGCTCAAGTTCATCTAGTTCCCATTCATCGCTTCCTGAGCCTCTGGATGGCTGCACTTGGGTGAACGGTGTTCAAGTACTTGAGGGACATAAACTGCTCCCTGTAGTCCCCAGGTCCTTGTTAAACTTAGCAAAAGAAAACAAATGAGGCCAAACAGAGTCCTGTCACTCTAGCAACAAGCCTTCCGACCTAGGGCACCGAGAGGAATGGACTGAAATTCCCCGAAAGCCCCCAGGGCAGAGAGGGAAGGCCGGATCTGCCCAAACGCCTTCAGTGTGCTGAAGTCACTGGCCCAGCCTGGGGTAGGGCCTCTTCACCAAGCTCCCAGAACACAGCTGGCAAAACAAACACACCTAGAAACCCAGGGGATCCTGGGCACGTGTCAAGGAGAAAGGAGGAGCTGGAAAGGGAAGGGAGGGAGTTCAGGTTCTATATTTTGCCAAGTTTAGAAAGAAAAACCTTTTAAAGCAGCACAGTGGCTGCTGAGATTACTACATGGCCGAGACCCAAACCGGGTAAATATAGATTTTCAAAAATAAAAGGAGACGCACGGGGTGACCTGCCCACTCGGACTGACTTAAGTGTGAGGTCATGGCCCCATGCTCCAGGCTGCATGCCAGCAGCCCCATCCTCACACAGCATTCCCTGAGCCCAGCCAGGCTAGGCAGGAATGACAGATCCCTGGCTTCCAGGACTGGTGATTCATGGATACGAGTTTAGGAAGAATTTTCATTTCCACAAGGCTCTATCTCTTGTCTCCCAGCTCTCTTCATGGCACTAATAAAAGCTAGAAAATGATGTGCCTTGGAAATCCCTCATGCCCAAGGCAGTTATAGGTGGAGAACACTAACTTCTCTCATTTCACCCAGTAGAAGATCGCGGAGACTTCTGCTAGGAAAATCCTGCTTTGGTACAAGGACACAGCGACACAGACAAGTAGACAACCTGCCTGGAAATGACCGCAGCCCCCTCCCCCATGCTCATGCAAGATGAGAGGGGACTGTGTCAGGTCTGTGTGTGAAAGGGTTTGTGCATAGGGTGAGAGAATGCTGGGGGGAGAGGGAGACAGGTGTGTTTCTATGCAGGAGTGTGAGTGTCCTGTGTTCACTATGGTGTTGGGCAACCACCTGCCACAAGGATTCTGTATGTGACAGTCAGATACATGCACACACACACACACACAGCTAGGCACCCGCACAACTTGGAGCTGAAGAAGAAAGGAAAAAGAGACAGAGAGGTTTTCCCTAAGAAGAGAGTCCGTTTTTCTCAAATCCTTTCCTGGGGTCTCACTCTACAGCTCCGGTGCCAGAAAGGGAGAGAAATCTTGGAACAGAGCAGGAGACTCAAAGGAAGGAAGGTCCAGCCCCACTGTGCACACTGCCTCCCAACCGCTCAATCGCTGCCCGGCTCCTCCAGCACCCTTGGGTCACCCTGGCCCGCGTGCACCCCGGACCCCACACGCCCCGCGCGCCCGACCAGCACGCACCTGGGGTCCGGCTGCCCCCGGCCGCGCAGAGCGCACAGTGGAGGGGCAGCAGGCAGGACAGCAGCGCACGGAGCGGAGCCATGTGGCCGCACTGAGACGCGGGCCCGGAGCTCCGGGCTGCAGGCGAGGTCGGGGCGCGCCCGGGGCTGCCTGTGCCTGGGTCGGCTGGCCTCCGCCTCCCGCCTCGCAGCCTCCCGCCCGCCTGCTCCCGGCCCCCCGCGCGGCGCCGCCGCCTGGACCGCTGGCTCCGAGCTCCCGAGGCTGCCGGCGGGAGAGCCGAGCGGCTGACGCGCCAGCGCCCCCCGTGCCAACTGCAGGCCGCTCGTCCAGCCCGCGCCGTGCAGCTCCGGGACCCCGCGGGAGCCGCCGAGGGGGCGGCGGGGCGGGCCGGGGGTGGGCACACTGGCGGGGCGGGGCCGGCGCGGGCCTGAGCGAGGGGCTCTGCGCGCCCGGAGGCGGGGCGCGGGGCTGGGAGAGCTGCGGCGTGTGGCCGGATCGGAAGTGCCACGCGGAGCCAGAGCTGGGGCTCCTGGCGCCCTGGGCGAGTATCCCCAGAGCCGCACGGGTTTCCCCGGAGTGTGAGCGGCTCTTTTTGGCTCTTCCGCCCGGCTTGCTTTAATGCAAGGCCAGCCTTCCAGAACCGCTGGGTCCAAGGCATGTCCCTCTGCATTTGGTTGGGAGACGGTGAGCAGCAACAGCCCCCTCTCTGCACACCCCCTCCCCTCACCCCGTCTCCTTTCAGTGATGCCGCCAATGAACCTTCGACCTCTTGGCTGTTCCCTTTTTTTTTTAAAGATTTATTTTTATTTATGTATACAAGAGCTGGGATATAGGCCAGAGGTGTGGGGGGTGAGAGGATTCACCAGAGACAGAGCAGGGAACAGAACAGGCAGACTGACTGAAATACACTGCTGAGGGGCGCAGCGGGCGAGACAGGAGAGGTCTGCTGCGTCATGTGGGTAGCTCCCTGGCCGACTGGGGATTGAATTCATGCTGCAGAGGCTGTGCATTGCTTCATTGTGTGGTGCTTAACCCCTTGCACCACCAGGGAGGCCCCTGGTTGTTCCCATTTTGCAGAAAACAGCTCCCTGGGCCCCCAAGTGCGATGACTGGCCTGTGTCTAAATCAAGAGCAGGGCTGAGCAAGGTGAGGAGAACCCTGGTTTTAGAGTCAGATAGCCTTGACTGAAGCCCTAGCTCTGAACCTTCCTCATCGTGAAGTGGGCATTTACTACCACACATAGTAGCTGCTCAATAAATAACTGTTCTCTACTTAAAACCTTGGCACCAGTAGCACCTGCCCAGCTCAAGTGGCAAAAACCAAGAAAGAATGGGGTACAGGCCATGGAGGGGTTCTGGCCCCTGAGTTTTCTAGGTAAATTTCCCTGAGATGGCCCTGCAGTGGGGGAGAAAAGTTTGCAATCACATGCCATGACTTTGTTCTGCCCCCATCTGGCCCCCACTCTGTAACTGGGAGAACTGAGACCCTGTGAAGAATGAGAATGAGGGATGAGAGTGGGTGCTGCATTTGTAATGTTGCTGAGGCCAATAGCGTATTCAGGGTAGTGGCCCAGCTACCACTTTACTCCATAAAAGGGTTCCTAGCGATTTCAACTGAACTGTATTTCAAGCAATCCAGAGGTAGAAACTGGAGAAAGGAGAGTTTTTTTTCCTGCTCTCCCTCTCTCTCTCTTTCAAGAACTGTGGAATAAAGAAACCTTTGTATGAAGTATATAAAGACCCCTAATCTTTCTGCTTTTGAGTTCAAACATTTTGTTGTGTGGCTTTCTTAAAAAGAAGCAAATTTGTGGCTGGAAATTCTCCTACCGGGCTTCTCTTGGGGTTCTCTGGGTGCCTGAGCAGGAATTTGGGTTCCTGCCCTCTTCCCTCGACATGAGGTCACCCAGTCTACACCCGTGCTGGACTTTAAATGCATTCATCCTGGTAGAGGACCTGGAGTCTTCATCCTCGTGCCTCCGGGACCTGACCCGCGGCCTTCTAAAAGGCAGTGCTTGTGAAATGATTGGAATGGTGTCAAGGTTTTTGAGGATCAGTGCTTTTTTGAAGCTGGTTCAGATAGCTGAAGTGATGTGTCTGAGGTCACAACGTGTAAGTAGCAGAGCTGGAATCAGAACCCAGAACTAAGTGCAGAGCAGAAAAGAGAGACAAGATCCAGAGGTAGGAATTGTTCTAGGCTGAATCTTGCCAAGTACAGTCCCTGTGACCACAGGCAAGTCATTTTCCTCTTTGAGCTGCAGTACCTCATCTGTCAAAGGGGAACTATGAGGACTGAAGGAGTCATAGATGGTCACTCTTGAGGTTCTGTGCAAAGGCAGGACATATTCTATTACAGGCAACATCCGAGCATACAGATCTGGAAATGGCACCACCAACCTGGTCTATATTAAGTTGGGAAGAATGAAGTTTCTCTCTCTCCTCTTACTGGTCCTTTTAGATCTGTCAAGTCAAGAGCCAGACTATGCGGGAGGCTGATGAAGTAAGACGTGAGGGGCATGTGCATGTCAGTGGGAACTTGAAAGGAGGCTGTCTCTGTTCTGCCTCTCCATGAGCCCACTAAGTGAGCTCAGGATAAAATGGCCTTTTCACAGGGTCTCACTTCTCCCAGCTACAGAGTGGGGGCCATGTGGAGGCAGAACAAAGTCATGGCATGTGATTGCAAATTTTTCTCCCCACTGCAGGGCCATTCCAGGGAAACTTACCTAGAAAACTCAGAGACCCAAGCCCCTTCCACAGACTGTATGCCATTCTTTCTGCTTTAGATATGGCAAGTGAAGAGGGACAGTTTACAGCCAGGACCCAGCATCCTGACTCATACAGAGTGGGCTAGGGCCTTCCCTGCAGCCTGACTTGGCAACAGAGAGTAAAGCCTCACTCTGGCTCCCTAACCCCACCCCCTTCCCCTGGGCTACAATGGTTGCTTTTGTTGGCAAATATTATATGTTCAAAATCTTTTCTACTGAGAAGCCTTTGTTAGAAAGAGGGGGCATGGGAGCAAAGCTAGGAGTCTGGGCCAGAGGAAAATGGTTGGGTGGCCCCATTTCTGGGAATGAACAGAGGTAAAGCTACGAAGTCTACAAGCATCAGGTGGGGACCCTCCCAGGGAAGCAAGTCCTGTCTCTCACCTTGGAATTTTTCCCACAGGAGAATGACCATCACCAACTCTTGCTAATGGTCTTCCATAAACCAGCACTCCTCTGTCCAAGATCCTGGCAGAGGAGGGAGATACAAATGTTTGCATTGCACAGAGTGAGTAACCAACTGGAAGATGTGACAGGTACGTGAGAAAGCCTGAAAACCAGATAAGAGAGTGGAAGAGATATGTATTCTGGATGAAGGATCAGGGTCCCCAGTGAGGGCTATGCAGATTCAGGCAGGAGAGGGGCTGGACAGGTGGATTAACTCAACCTATGGAGACCAGACAAGGGAGCATTCCCCCGGGGGGTGGGGCCGTGGTGGGGGTAGGGTCTGGAAAGGAAACTGCCTTGAGCACAGGGAAGAAAATGGGTTCCAGCCTGCCTTGAGTGAGCACCCCTTTAGGAGGAAGGCAGTGCTGGACTCAAGCACATTCTTTGAGCTTAGACAAAACCCCAGAGTTGGAAACACGCTGCCCTGAGACAGCCTCCAATGCAGTGCCCCAGCCCCATCTAGAGAGGGATAGAGTTTTGTCTCTGGTCACACAGCTAGTTTAAAGTAGGGCCAGATACCCCGGCTTCAGAACCCAGGTGACTTACCCTCACCTCTGGAGCCCAAGCACCCACTCTCTCTCCCTTGCTCCACCTTCCAGGGTGAAGAGGAGGTGGTTTGAGATTGAGACAACAAAATCTCCCCATCTCAGAGAGAGTCACAGACACCCTCTAGGGAAGCAAGCATGTCAGTGTGAGACAGGTGTCTGGGATAAGGGGCCAGGAGCCCCTGGGGGGGGGAGGGTCACAGGTGACACAGTGGGAGCACAGAGTTATCACAGTTCAGGGGGCTGCTGGCAGATGGCTGTCATTTGTTAAGTGCCAGCTGCTGTGCTGATCACTTACAGGTTGTCCTGAAACACACAAAGAGAGTCTCTTTTTTATAAGCCCCTATGTGACCAGGGGTCAGCTGGTCTTTGCATGCTCAGGAGAGGAGAAAGAAACTCCACCCCAGTTCAGTGAAAGCCACCACCCGGCTAGGAAGCCAGAAAGCCACCTGGGTTTCTCTCTCACCAGCCACACCAATCACCTCCAAGTCCTGTGGATCCGCTCCAAAGGGCCTCCCAAATACAGCTACTTCCCTGGATCGCAAACACACTCCCTGCCCCATTCAGGCTGCCGGCATCCCTTCACTGAAACGCTGCCAATAAGTTGTCCTGACAGATTGCCCCCTCTTCTCTGTCCCCTACAATCTTTTCTCCAACTGCATCCAGAGGAGATATCTGAAAACTGTAATCATGTGGAATCTCCACTATAAAGCCTCCAAAGTTTCTGTTATTCTTCAGACAAAGACCAGACTCCCTAAGTCAGTCTACAAAGGTCTATATAGGATCCCAACCCTCCTGTCTTCTCATCCTTCCAGCCTAACTCCATATACGTACCATGCTCAGATTGCTGCAGGACCTTTGCACAGGCCATTCCCTCTTCCCAAAATGTTCCACGCTCGGGAGCTCTTTACCCAGTCAATCCTGGCTCACCCTTTGGACATTTTGCCAGTCATGACTTCCTAAGCCTGTCCTGGCTTCCCAACTAGGTCAAACCCCCCCTGTCTTTAGTTACACTGTTTCTATCTTCTCCTTCACAGCACTTTGCACTGTTGATTTTCATTAATTCTGTGTGATTCACAGATTAATATCTGCTGCCTCCCCCCACCCCCCGACTCTACCTCCACCCCCATACACACACAGAGACAATGAGTTCCATAAGAAACAGGAACCTTGTCTGGATTTTTTTCCTTATTATGTCCCCAGTGCCTGTCCTGTATTTGGCACTTAGTGGGACCTCAATAAATATTAGTTAAGTTAATCAAACGAATGGGCATTGGAGAAGGAACAGTTCATGGAAATTTGCTAGGCAAGTCTCAGAATAATCATTTCTGGGGAAACCCTGAGACACACACTTGTAAATCCTGATACTACCGTCAACATGAAGGTGACCAATAGGCCAGGGATGGCAGAAAAGAGTTGCTGTTCTGTTCCCCAACATATTGAAAAGATTGTAAAAATAACAAAAGCAATCCTTATAGCTGCTACTTGTTGGCCAGCTACTTCACATATTTACTTCAGTTCCCACAATAACCTTGCAAGTAGTATCCTTTTCTCTACTTTCTGGCTCTTCAAGATGAAGCGAATTTGCCCCAGC